TTATGATGTTCAATGATTGACCGTTAGCGCGCAATTGAAGAAACACGATTTTTCGAGTATTCGAGAATATGTAAAATTAGGCACGAGGCAGTCTTGGATCGATGTAGATTTGGACTAAAATTCTATCGATTTTGAGAATGTTTTTGGCCTACGTTGATTTCGAGAATCTCTTATTCAGAAGGGAAACAAGTTGCTCCTGAAGAAGAGAATCCTGTGTTCTCTAAGTCGATAATGCTTTATTAATATCTATTCTAATATACATTTCTCTTTATGCCTACTTTAAATTTCCAATCGATATATATCTCTCTTCTCAAATTCTAGGATTAGTAGATTATATATATGTATATATATGTAGATAATATATATTATGGGATGAAAGATAAAAGAAAGTGAGTACCAAGATTTGAAAGTACTAATTAATGCATTAGTTATGAAGTAGGCAAAAAAACTTGTTTATAAACGTATCTTGATAAGTAGCAGTCATTTTATATATTTCTTCAAGTTAAATTTAAAATGTTGGTATTTTTCAGTTCCCAAATAAAAAATAAAAAATTTATTTTCTTGAATGAAAAGTTTTTTTTTTTACTACTGAAACACCTTTCCCAAATATATGAAGCATTACGTTTCAATATCTTACAGACCACTACGAAAAAACGGGATGCCACCAGCTTCAGGGATAATATATCTCTCTCCTCGTCAAGCAAGCTGTCAATAAGATGTCTCTTCGAAAAAATTCAAACGTTGAACTGAAATCTAATGAAAATCTGTAACCGTAATACGAAATAAAAAACATCTTAATCTCAAAAACTGCAGGTGTGGCGAAAACAGAAAGCGCATAGATATGCGAAATTAATGTGCTTTTTGTGCTGCGCTAGAAATAAGGGCACAATATGTTTTAGTATACCTCTATGTGAGTACTATTTGAAATTTGGGCTTTGTCTATGCCATATTTTATTTCACTGCATATGCTTGAAACCATTCCTGGTAAGACCTAGAAACCTCTGTTTTCCGTAATTATGTCGCACAATTTGAAAGAGGTCAAGTCCGCTGCGTCCCAGACTTTTCCGGCGAACAAAAGTTTTTGAGTTCTTTCCAACGAAATAAGCCCCAATGCAATAACACATTCATTTCGGATAACTATGATGATCTTTTTCATCGCATCTTTCTTGGACACCCTGCATATCTGATGGAAAATCGCTTGATGTTAATACATGATTTACTTTGCAGAGTTTTATGTTTATTATTTAATTATCTTTTTATTTTGTCTGCGCTATCACTTCCATTTTCTTCCGCTTCTACCAGGATGCAGAGTAGTTAATGCATATGATAACAGAGTTTTTGAACTTTTCAGAGGTCTTTTGGCAGCGGCCGCTGAATATTTGAATACTGTTTTCGCCTAGATTCTAAATTCATTTGAATTCGCTTCAGCTTTTGCTAACCGTATTTTCTCGCTTAAGTAAAGGGTCTCAGTAAGCCAAAAAAGTGAGATATTTGTTAAATAGGGAATAAGTGAGAGAACGAACAACCAAAGATTCAAATTTGTTTGAAAAAGGATAAAAACTTCAATATTTGCCGTTTTACCACTATTTAGTTTCGAAATTATTTGCAACGCATTTATCTCAATTTATCACATTTAGTTGAAATTCAAAATCATTTTTAATTAGTGCTCTTTATCATTAAGCCGAAAAACTAAATTTATCAGGGAATTTCGATATAAATGCATTAGTACTTACAGAGGCATACATCACTATTTTATAGGTGTTGCTTATCTGTAAAAAATTTCAAGTCAAATGTTTTTACCCTTATTCAACTCTCTTAATATATTGCCACTTTTAAACTTTTGAAGAACAGTGTATCAGCAGCGCAAATGCTGCATTTTAAATTGCTTCTCTAAACCCATGGCAATTTTACAATAAAAAAATGAAAGTTCAAAATTACCTATAACTTGCTCTTACCAAACGCGTATGAAAGCGCTGCAGATGTTTCTGTATGCAAGGGAAAATGTAGCTCTTTAATGTGTTATTTTCAAGCATTAAATTTCTTACTCAGTCTATAATTTGTTCGTTGTTTACTGGATTTTCCCCTTACGCAATCAATATCAACAGATGGCACTGTTCTGTCAAATATAACTAAGTTATTTTTCGAGAATACGTTTTTATTCGTAAGGTAAACAGGAATGAAATCATTCGTCCTTAGAGCTGCAATTGAGAAAATAACCCAAATTGGAAAAATTTTTATTTTAGTTTTTATGAGTTTTGATGTTACTGCTATTTATTTGAAGTAGAATTACATCTATTAAGATTTCGTTTATTTGAACATACTTATTTCCTCCACTTATAACCTATTTCAATAGAAAAAGGGTTTTCAATAATTATAGTTATGCAATTGTAGGAGCTTTTTAAATTCTTTATAAATATGTGAATCTAATTTATATTTCTGTCACGTTTTGATTGCACAGGGTGTCTCTAAGGGTTTACAATAATTATTTTTAAGCAGTTGTAGAAATCTGTTAATTGTGTTTCATATTTTAGGAACTTTTTTAAAGCTTTATAAGTATGTGACGCTAATTTATATTTCGATAATTTTTGGTTTTACAGGGTGGTCCTAAATAAACGTAACCGGATAAACTGAAAAGCGTTAGCGTATTCAGTGTAAAAAGAAACAATAGCATTTTGAATACCATACAGTGAGCTGTAGCTCACGTTGATTTTGTCTTTCATTTAAGTGTGTAATATCGCATTCAGCTCAGGTGTTATTCACTAGCTTTGGGTTCGGTTTATCTTGGGTCACCCTGTATAAAAGACTGTCTTTAAATAATACGTATAACTACACTTATCCTATTTTGTGTTTTTAAAGCACTTCAGATAGTGGTCTTTGGAAGATTAAAAGGTGGATTGAGTAAACTTTTAGAACAACTGCATCCGTTGGACGGAAAAAAGTGTACAAATAATCATCAGTTTCAAATATTTTGTTTAGAACTGAATTTCTAAATATTTATTCCGTTAAGGTTCATTTGCTTATTCGTAGCATTTGGATCGGTTTATAGTTTGAAAATTCAGTCGATGCATTTCTTCATAAAAGAAATTCTTAATCTTTACGGATCTCTGACAATCTTTACGAAACCTGTACTACTATTTTCAGCATATTTGAAGGAGATTTCTCCTACCCCTACCTCTCTTCTTAAAACGATTTTTAAAATATTTCGTTGCATGTGGTCTGTATTTCATTTCTTTTTAAACAAACATTTGCTAAAAGTGTGAAGTTTAGTCTTTGGGTTATTTTATTTTATTCGAATGGTTGATTGTTTTCTTTGCTTTTTAGCCCTTAATTACCCGCGTGACTCACCTAGTACACCAACGAACATTAACACCATATCGTAGAAATAAGTATCATAAACTTTTTTCATCTTCCAAGTGCATCTCTGCTCACAGCTGACAGAAAAACTATATGCATTTAAAAGCTTAAGTTTTTCCCCCGTTAATCTAGAGATTTTCAGAAAGAAAATCTTTTCTTGAACAAGGCGCTAGATATTTCTCTCAAAAATTGAAAATTCTTAAAACAAATATCAGATGCCTATCATAAAATGTATAAAAATATAAAATTTCTCAATGGATTTAAGTTTTTAAAACTATTATGAAGAGTAAAATCTGATTTTTTTAAAGTGTTCAGTTTGTTAAAGTATTCAGAAAATTCCTCTTGTACAAAACAATGTACACTGTTTAATGTCCTACTTCAAAATGAGATCGCAGTATAGAGAGACAAAATAAATGTTAGGTTTGTTGATGAGCTTTGATTTCTATAAAGAATCCAATACGCTTGCAAAGGAATCATATACAACGCTTTCTGTTTTGCTCCAACGATTTCATATCATAAATAACACAGCTAACAAGAGTTAACATATTAAAAACTTGCCGAACACGATTCACTTGATAAAGCATAACATGGCATTTAAGTAACTCGCAGTCCTGTACGGAAAACCGAAATTAACAACACAATTAAATTGCTGTCAGATATAAAGAAAACGGCCATTCCAGTTATGCCAAAGCATTGTCACCCGTAAAATAAATCACCATTTAATTTCTGTGTCTTATAAGAATACAGTAAAAGAATTATATAGCAAGATAAGAAATACATTTTAAGGATAGTCATCATTTCACTCCAACTTTCAAACGTACAGTGTACTCAAGCGAGGCACTTTGTAAGCTATGAGCCACACTTATCCTCTATGCTAGAGCTACTTCTAAAGGAAAGATATGCAAATGAGAAACAATTGTAAATCAAACTAGCTTCTTTGATCGGTTGCAGTGAATATACGCAGAACTCATTTCCGATAAATATTCTAAAGCGTTTCGAATGTGAGTTTTAAATTTTCTTTTGAAATATTCACTAATTTGGTATTTCACTGTGTAAATTATTTTATGCTAATTAATCAGTTATTATGATTTCTCCTTTCCGTAGTCCTCACCAGAATACAAATTAATTATTTGTGTATTTAAGCCAAAGATTTGACTGTTTAGATTAGAGCTTCTGGAAGCCTCGTCTTCCTGTTACGTATTATCGTCATCTTTTCCCAAGTTTATTTCCGGCTTTAGCAGTTTGCTATCTGACGTTTAAAATATACGTCGTTATCTATTTTTAGCCAGCTTGAGTAGTTTACTTTTTGTGTAAGCTCAGACTATGTTACCTACATTGAAATTTAACTTTATGCTATGTTAATTTAAATTCCCGCAAGTAGCGGAGGTTCGTATGTTACATAGGCAGTGCCTTTCTATTCTTTAAGCGTTAAATGAAAAGGGTTATTTGTTTCGGACTAAACCAATGACTCGTTTCCAGTTTAGTTGGGTTCTGAGGATATTAACATACATGCAGCAGAACCCTACAGTTGTGTAACCAAAAACTGTTTTATATTTAAATACATAACCGTAAAATGTTTTATCTGGTCCTAAAATTTTATAAAAGTTAGGAATTGTTGTTGCCATCAAAATAAATCCAAAAAGGGATAATGGCTGCAAAGCAGTTTTATATAGATTTTTTAATGAAAAGTTTTGAGCTGAAAGTAATCTGTTCATAATTCAAATAAGCAGGTATTTTTGTAAAAAGAATACTTTTCTTCGCGTAACAGGTTATAAACTTTAAAAGTTAGAAGCAAATTTTCTTTCTTTTTTTCTTTCATTCATCTGTCACTGGCATTTCCTGCATTCATCTGCTTGTCGAAATGAATGAGAGCAGGTCTTATTGGAACCACCTGTGGCCGTTTCCGCTGAGCTCCGAATAGCATTTGATTTACGGCACATTTATTTTCGATTCAGTGTGCATGATTAATACGGTGAAATGTTTCACATAGTAGCTGCTCCATCAGTTGCATCTGAAATTATTTCATTTTGATGGGAGTTTCATAATGCGAAAGATTTCTCAAATTTCTGTATACTGCTACATAACACTTTTTTTACTTCCTAAAAGAAAAATTTGAAATATTTCGTTATAACATATTTTCTCAAAATAAGAGGATTTCAAATGAATAATTAGTTACTACAAATAAAAATGGGGCTATATGTTCATTTGTTAATATTTAGTATATATTACATGCGAAATGCATATTTTCTGTCTCCGTGGTAAAGTTATTTTACATATACATCAAAACTTTTTAATACTTAGATGAGATTTGTTTCCAATTTTTGTAATTTTCACAATCTCGAAAGGACAGTAAATAATATTAAAACCATTCTTAATTATACAAGTAATCCGAATAATACATAATTTTGCAAAAGTATTGTGAAAGCTTGTGCAAATGACACAAACTAATTCAATGAATAGTTGGCTAACAAAAGCTAATCACGTTTCGTCAGACACGAAGCCTTATCCCCCTTTAAATATATTTTTGCTATAATTCCCTGTTTTGAGATGTTAGACAAGCTATTATTTACCCAAAAGCAAATTTTAAAACTTAACTGCTTAACTTAATTATAAACTGCATTATGGAACAATTTATAATATAACTGTGAGTTTACAGTATTATTTGGGCATAAGGAAAGAAAGTATGTAAAAATAAATTACAAAAATAAGAAATGCGAAATAACTAAGTCTAAGTAAAATTAATAATATGAACTTTGCGGGTGGAATATGTGAATGGAATGGAACTTGAAAGGGGGATGTACGGCTCATAGACATATTAATATGGTACTTAAGTTGTTAGAAACTGAACTTAAGTAATACAGAAATATAAATTTATATAGTTTATATGAATATATAAAAGAGCTAATTTAGATAATAATAAATAATCACATTTTAAAACAAAGAAAATAACTACAAAACTCAAGAGTTCAATAAAGAGTTCATTAGCGATAAAGATATGCGCAAAAAACAACGAAAGCATCCAAAAAGGATTACTGAAGAGGAATATCTACGAGAAGTATCATTAAGAACAATGCGAAAACCGCTAATGTTAAAGTAATATCTGACATCTTCGTGATTTTCGAATAGCGGCATTGTACATGATGAACGCAGTTTTTTATCGTCTTTATAGTAAAAATATTTTCATATTCATACGGCATATCGCAGATAGTATAATACCATATTGTCAATTGTTACTTAGACTTTTAATGCCTTTCTATTAAAAATATGCATAGATTCACATTTTTTGAAAGCGAAAAGAGAGGCTGTAGGCCTATCAGAATCCATGGACGTTTTAATCAGTCCTTTGAAAATCAGGAAAATCATGCATTAAATTACAATCATTGAACATTTTAAATGATAACTATATCAAACCTTAATATGTTATGTATTTTCAAGAAAAGGATTCAAACGCTTTTTCTAAGCTGAGCTTGCGTGCTCTGTGCAACCACACTGATCCCACATTTTCCATTAAAACCCTCCTCACTCTCTCTCTTTCTCTTTTGCATGGGTCTTACTATTTGCGGGAGGATGTTAAATCTCAGATACTAACGCATCTTCGCTCTTCGTGCCTCTTTCAGAATAAATTTAGCATCCTAACTGTATCTTCTTTTTGTGTTTAAATATTCAGAAATGCAAGGGGAGATTTGAAAACAACATATGTACCGTTAGTCTGAGTCGACCATAAGACGCGAATTTTCTCGGAGAATTTAAGATGTTGAAGAAGTTAGAACAGATCCATTGTTTTTTTTTTTTTTTTTTTTTTTTTTTTTTTTTTTTTAAGTTTGCAACCCAGTTTTAAATGCAGTCATTCATTTTCGGTGAGGAGGGGGAAGGTACTTCAGTAAATCTCATTTGAATTTGAGCAAGGTAAAGTAAAATCATAAAGCAAAAGCTACTATATGGAAACACTGTATTTTGAACGTGCCTGGTAATATTGCCTCTAAAAAGAACCCTGAGCTTGGAAAAGCTTTCAGATAACTAACGTTTTAAATAAGGAGAAAAATGATTATCATGATTTTTATTATGAATTTTTATTAAAGGTGCGACTAATCACTAACTGGGAAAATGTTTTTCTTTGCTTTGACAAAACTTGCGTGTTCTGTGGGTTTATTTCATTTGTTGATACATTTAATTTTGTATAAACGCTGCATTATTCCACTAATGGTATTTTAAATGTTTGAAATTTAGCTTCCAAAACAGTGATTTTAAATATAAAATAAAATGTTTATACATTATAACAGATTACAGAACTATAAACAAAAGGAAGATAATATAGTGCAGGACACTGTGGTTTTCCTTTACGGTATAAAAATGGTGCAGCTGTCTTGTAAATCTATTTTATGTTTCCAAAAATGATGAAAGTGAAAGCTAAATAATCTCCCATTTGTGATTTAGTAAGAAAAATTAAGATATAGTACGATTTCTATTAATGTTATTCGATAGCGAAGCAAGCAAGAGAGTACTAAGCAAGAGAGAAACCTTAGATTAGTGTAGATTTTAAACTAGCCTCGTTGTTTTCGAGGGCAATCATGCAAAGGTCCTAATTATTAAAGGAACAAAAAGCGATAACCATTTTATATGTAAATCAATTGCAGAACAAAGCAAAAATAAATAAGCTTATTCAAAACCTATGCTTATTTAAGATTACCTCTTTGTCTAATTTTATGCCATTTGTTATTATTGTACGTCATTTATTAACCTAATTGTTAAATTACGGCTTATAAACCCATTAATTGTCATCTGCTAATTATTTTAAATTGCTAAATTGTTGTCATGTGCTAATTGTTGTAATTGCTGACATCTGCTAATTGTTGTAGCTGCTAATTGCTAGTTGTTGTATAACTTTATTCTAAAAGTGAGAAAAACTTTCCGTTTTCAATTTTTAATTAAACATTTCAATTTTAATGATTTCTTTCACTATAAATACGTTTATCATTTTCTGGGAAATGCAAGCATGTCTGAGAAAAATTTAGGTAGTTAGATGATTAAACTATTTATTATAAAAACCGCTTATATCTTTTTGTGTACAAACTCGCAATTACTGCTGTTTGGTACAAGGTGCGCTCTAAAACTTTCCGTGTTGCTATGTAATCTTGAGGAACAGTAATTAATATGTGAAGGGAGAAACAAATATGTATGGTACAGATTTCGTTTACAAATTTGAGTGAGAAAAACTTTACTTGAAAGTGTGTGTGTGTGTGTGTGATTATGGCAAAGCCTCGAGGGCTATCTGCTTAAGGGGAGGGATGCCTTCATGGAGGACTTTCTAATTGAAACTGGCTCGTATACACGTTACACATGGGGAAAACCACGAAAACGCCCATGCAGCCAGCCCGTTCGCGGGATTCGAACCTCGGACCGAACTACCAGTGTTCAGCGACTTTACCGCTCGGCCGCTGGTGGGCCTTACTTGAAAGAGAAAATTTAATTTGTGTTCCGCCAAGTGCGTTGTTGCAACTATGTTTAAATTACGAAGTATTATGAAACCCATTTGGGCAAAACCTTTTTACAATGACACAGAACACGAACTTTGGATAAGCTTTCTCTTTGATTATAAGAAAACGACAAGAAAGAAAAACTTCACATAAAAAATGAGAAAATTAACAAATCAAATTCTTGTGTTTTGTCATTCTTTGTAACATTTCATAATTCCCGAGTATACATAACGGGCAAGTTCAGATGTTTGGTGTGCTAGCACGGCAAGCAGCTTTTTCAAGTTGTAGAAATTTTGAAATGTATAAATTGAATTTCCTGTAGTGATCCTTATTTATATTACATTTATACCAAAAACCATTTGCAATACGTACAATGTTTAGAAGCGACATCAAATATTTAAAACGGGCCTAAACTACTTTTTTTCAAAAGGCTCTAATACGTATTTTTGGAATAAAAGAATGGAACTTGGAATTATAATTTTTTCATATAGTACAAATCTTTCAGAAATAATTGTCAGTGTTATCGTTCATTGTCATTCTTCCACAATACGGCAAATAAAATTACATCGTCTAAGGTAATCTAAAGAGTATCATAGATCTAATTATTTTTTGCACGAATCCGTTATTTTTTAACGTCTAGAAAAGCACAAAATCTCAGAAAATGTAAAAATGTGTCATATATGCACGAAAAGGAATTTTATTTTGGGGACCAATATTTTGCTTAGATTAGTTCTAATTCTTACTTAAAATTAATAATAGTATCATGTCCTTAAATAAATAAATTGTGAAAAAAAAACCTATATTGATCTATTAAACAGCGTAATAAATAGTTTTGTATTACGCATTATGATTATGAAATTGGAATGCACAAATGAATATGAATATGTTATAATTATGAAATATGTATGTTATTACTGTGAATTAAAATGTACAAATCATATATACTGTATATAAAAATATCCTTTTTTGATGCGAAGAAAATACTATTTAATAACAGAACTTCAAACATTTTTGAAGAAAAATTCCTTTCGTCAAAATACGTACCACTCCCTAGTGATAAATTTCAGTTAAATATTTTATCAATATTTAACTGAAAATATAAAAAATCATAGCAAAGCTCTTACACAAATAAAGTTTCTTTAAACTACTTCACTGATGCTTCATTTTAGAGATACAGCATACTTAGGCGAAGCGTATACGAAAATGGATGCAAGCAGCCATCATCAGAAAAATAATCAGAGCCATTTAAGGTTTAGCAAAAGAAGACACTATTTTTTTGGAAATCTCAGATTTGAGCCCCCCCCCGTTTGCTATTGCCTTTATTAGTGTTATACGTGTAAGAAGCAAAACAAAGAACTAACGCTTAAATATCCGTGAGAAACAGATATAATGATGGAAATAAAAATTATTTTGCAGTCTGTAGCCAGCTACTTTAGTTTAAGAGTGTCTTTTCAACTAATTGTGAACACGCCTGATTATACTTACTTCTTTATTGTACATCGCATTCTGGTCGAGCAACGCATAAAAGGGATAATAACAATATGTACGCAAACTGGCAGAATATTGTTGTCTTGGAAATGTCGCATGCAAATATGAGTCAAATGCTCTTGGCTTGATTAAATAGA